ACAGATGAAGCTACAATGAGAAAAAGCAGAGAGAGCATAAAGTTAGAGCCTGAAATGACAAATTCTGCAGAGTGGGAGAATAGATAGGAATAAGCAGAATGATAAAAAGTTGGTCCCTATGTCCTCCAGCAGTCTAGGCCTATAGCAGCATAACTATATAGATAGCTAAGGATAACCTATAACCATCGACTTTTTCAAAAACAAAAAGTATTAAGCTTACCTTAAAAGTAGGCAGGGTGTCTGCCTCACAGACTAAAACTTGCTGTTGGTTCCATAGGAAACGCTTACTTATCAGCTTTTGTCAAACTTTCAACTCTTTTGGATTTATTATCATCCTGTTGATAAATTGATTTCTTTACTGCTTATTAAGACTTCAACAGTGTTTCTTTTCTTTAAAAAAAAAGATCTTCCCATTTACTCTTTAAATTCACACTTTAAATACATGTTTATTACGATATTGTTGATGAGAAGCAGTTATAATTATTTTTATTATATCTACATGATGTCTTAATGCAGTTTCCCCACTACTTTAAAGTAAGGCCTGCGGTGTTTTAGTAAAAAAAAAAGGATAACCCAGATAATCCAGTATCTGATCAGAGGTCAAAGAATCACCAGTTGCAAAAACAAACCTGCTCTCTTTAAGAAGTTGTCAGCGATAGGCTGTTTCTCATTATTCTGTGAGCAACCGTAATCCGATCTGGACTTCACACACCAGCAGCGTTTGAGCAGCAGGGCAGAAGGAAAGGAGCTGGTTACCTTGCTGGGATGTTGGACGTGTGCAGCCTGTCACCTGCAGCTCTTCGTTCAGCAGCTCAGTGTGGCCGCTCTTTCATGTTTCACATTTCTTCCTGTTAGAGCTGCTCTGCTGTTTAAAAGGTAAAGATATTTCTCACTTTGCTCTATGCACTTCAGTCCTAAATAAATCTGATGAGTTTCCATTACAATTAAATCTAGATTTTTAAAAGGAAGTCTATTCGTTTAACGTTTGTGTATTGTTCAAATGTTCTGAATGAAATGATCAGATCTACAGCATTTACTCTATGAAAGAACCATCTACCTACGCTTTACCAGCTGTCTTCAGTGCATCTCAGTGCAGCTTCAGTTTGAGACTCATTATGGCTCTCGTTCCCAACCAGCTCAAGCTGCTGCTCCGATTGGCCGGCATCCAGAGGCCTCTCCTGAGCAAACTTCTGCCCTTGGATGTA